ACACGGCCAGCCTTACTGAGAGTTAACGGGCCCGGCAAATCCATTCATTTTTAAGGGGTGAAATGTAGTTTTGCAACCCCAAAGAGGAGCCCTTTCCTAAATGAGCAGTTTTGCTGCAGGCAGGGACGTCATCATGATTTAAAAAACAGGATCGGGGCGTGAGCAGGGAGAGGGAACGTTTAAGAAGCGCATCTCTAAATTTGTCACACGTCGCTCGGCGGAACATGATTATTATTTTAAAACAGATGGCCGCTCTCTCTCCGTATCTCTTTGCGACGGTCACAAGCCGGAGCAGAAGGCGGCTACAAACTCGACTGCACACACACACACACACACACACACACACACACCCTCGCAACGGCTGCGGGATACAAGAAGCGGCCTGCTCCTCCGCCGGGAGGAGAGGAAGACGCTTCTTGCAAATTGCACTTTGAAAACAGCAGCAGAGCTCAGCCTCGGCCGACCCGGAGCCTCGCAGGGGGCCTTGCGGGTGCTGACGGGTGTCTGAAGTGCCCCAAGGGCACCAGGTTGGCAAAGGCCAGCGCGGCTGCCAGACAAAGCAACCGAAACAATAAAAAAGTCATCGAGTGCAACCCAAATGAAAACAAAACAAAAATCCGTAATTGGGAAAAGGAAAAATAGAATACTGGCCATCTTTCTGCTGCCCCTATCGGGTTCAGGGGCAACCGCAGAGGCCCAGGCTGGGCTTGGGGGGGCTCTGCTGCGACCCGCACCCGTGTCCCTGGGCAGAAAGTTGATCAGCATGCAGCTGCCCTCCTCCTCCTCCTCCTGTTCCAAGTGCACACACGGTCCTCCTCTCCTCCTGCAAATGGGGAGTCCCGGCCCACAAACATACACTCCCAAGTGCTTGAGGACCCTTCTCCGTCCTCGGAGAGTCCCGGGTTCTGCCGGCCGGGACCCAGCCTCTCGCTAGATGTCGTAGCGGCTGGAGCTGTACATCGCGGGGTAGCTCTGCCGGCTGTACTGGAAGTGGTCGGCCAGGACGCCACCGCCTCCCCCTCCCCGGTTGCCGTACTGGAAGTCCCCGCCGTGGTGGTGCAGGAAGGAGGAAAGTCCGTTCTGGCTCTTCTCCGGGGGGCTCCTGTGGCGCTCCAGGCCGCCGGGGAGGTCTCCCGTCGTGACGGGCAGCAGCTGCTTCTTCCTCTCCTGGTTGGCGTCGTATTTGGTCTGCGGGGAGAACAGCGCTTCCGTCAGGCTCCCTTTCGGAGAACCGGGAGGTTTCCCCCTAAGGTCATCCAGCCCAACCCTCTATATTAATATATATTCTACATACAGTGTATTAATATAGTATTAATATACTATATTAATATATATTCTATATACAGACGAAATTAATTCGTTCCGCGAGTTTTTTCTTCTTGCGAGTTTTTTGTCTTGCGAAGCACGGTTTCCCATAGGAATGCATTGAAAATCAATCAATGCGTTCCTATGGAAACCGCCTTCAGACCAGATCCGGGGACAGTCTGTCCCCTGACCTCTTCTGAAGGCTGGGGGGGGGGGGGGGGGAGAAGGGCTTTTCTGAAGGCTGGCTGTGGGAAGAAAAGCCCTTCTCCCCACCTCCCGCCCCGCAAGCTCCGGGAACAGGAGGGCTTCGCTGCTGACTGCCCGCATTTTAAGATCGCCCGGGACAGCGGAGAAGCAAGCCCATAGGGAAATTCGTCTGGCGAAGCACCTCGAAAAACGGAAAACTCTTTCTTCTTGCAAGTTTTCCGTCTTGCGAGGCATTTGTCTTGCGAGGTACCACTGTATTAAAAGAGAACGGCAAACACAAAAACGCGAAATACACAATCAAAATAAAAACAAGAATAAGGGGGATTAGATGAATGGAAAGGGAAGATCACTGACGGCAATCGGCTACGAAGGCAACGCTCTCCCTCCCTCCACTGTCGGAGACAGTATACTGGGGAACCGCGAGCAGGCAGTGCCGCCTTCCCCACCCCCAAAAAAGAGGAGCCCGTTTGGTTCTCCGCCGAGGCCTACCTTGTTGTACAAGAAGACTCCCAGGATGGCGGTCATCATTCCCAGAACGTTGGTGGAGGTGACGGGGTTCCTGAGCATGAGCAGAGAGACGCTGATGACCGTGATCCTCTTGGTGGCGTTGGCGACCGAGTAGCTCAGGGGGCTGATGAGGTTGAGGATGCTGAAGGCGATGACGTTCTGGGCGAAGTTGCAGAAGCCGCTGATGGTGAGCAGGAGCAGGGTCCACGGCCAGTGGGCCATCGAGCTCTGCAAGGGAGGCAGGGTTCAAGGGACAGCGGGGAGTTTCCCCGCCAGCCCCGCGGTCACTCCTGGGGGCTGTCGAGACTCCGGCAGAAATAATAAACATAATAGTAATAATTTATTACAGTGGCACCTCCACCCCATCGAGCGCCCATTCCGTCGGACGTCCGTGGCAAAGCCAGAAGTACCGGAACGGGTTACTTCCGGGTTCGCTGCTCACGCATGCGCAACATTTTGTCCAGCATCCTGGGGTTTGCCAGTGACTGGGGCTCCAGAATGGATCTCGGTCGCAAAACGAGGTACTACTGTACTTATACCCTGCCTATCCGGCTGGGCTTCCCCAGCCACTCTGGGCGGCTTCCAACAGAATATATTTAAAACACGATAAAACATTAAAAACATCCCTAAACAAGGTTGCCTTCAGAAGTCTCCTAAAAGTCTGGTAGTTGTTTATTTCCCTGACATCCGATAGGCGGGTGCCACCACCGAGAAGGCCCTCTGCCCGGTTCCTTGTAACCTCGCTTCTCGCAGGGAGGGAACCGCCAGAAGGCCCTTGGGAGATGGACCCCGGTGTCCGGGGTGGAGATGCTCCTTCAGGTCTACTGGGCCGTTTAGGGCTTTCAAGGTCAGCACCAACTCTTTGAATTGTGCTCGGAGACGTCCTGGGAGCCAATGTGGGTCTTTCAGGACCAGTGTTATATGGTCTCCACTCCCAGTCCCCAGTCTGGCTGCTGCATTCTGGATTAGTTGTAGTTTCCAGGTCACCTTCAAAGGGAGCCCCGCGTAGAGGAAGGGAAAGGAGCTCCCCGCCCCGGGAACTCACCAAGTCGTTCTCGACCAGGAAGGCGGAGAGATCGACCAGGACCCAGGTGGGGATCATGAAGAAGACCGCGTGGCAGCCCAGAATGTTCAGCAAGCGCAGGTGGTGGATCCGGGAGTCCCTCAGCACCTGCAAGGACGGAGAAAGAGATCAGGGACGGGCGCTTTCGACTTCCTTCCCCCTCCTGCTCAGCACCCACAGGGAAAAAGAGGCCGGTCTCTGTTTCAACACAGAGCGCTGCCTCGCTTGCTTCCACTGGGAAAAGGAGGATGGGACGGTTGTGGGAGATGGCTTGTAACGAACGTGTTCTAACAGATCATTTCCCCCAAAAGGACCAGGGGCATTTCTCCTAGGAATAACGGAGTCAGGCGTCCAACGTAATCTGTTCCGGAAGACCGTTTGATTTCCAATAAACGTTTGAGAACCGAGGCACAACGGGCAGGCGGCAATTTCAACGCGCCTCGGAAGCAAACGCGCCTCGGAACCAGTTCGACCTCCGAGGCGAGTTCAAAAACGGAAGCAACTACGTCCGGGTTCCGAATCGTTTGGCTCCCGAGACGCTTTGAAACAGAAGTTCCACTGTATTAGGGGCATCTTGGATCTTACATGCTCAAAAATGGAGGGGTGCAAGGATGGTAATGCTCTAGACTCTAGGATACAATGCCTATTATCTTCCGCAAATTACCACCACCACCAGGGCACCACTGGTTCTTCTGCACCCCAAGCGCCAGTGTGATTTAGCTGGAATGGGCAGGGGCTGATTTTGGGCTGGCAAAAGATTCCCAGGCCCAAGGCACCCATTCTGGTTTCTGTCCCTGAGGCCCGTGGCACAGCTGTCCCTGCTGAGCAGAACGCAAGGGGCAACGTGGTCGGTACCTTTTTGGAGAAAATGTTCTGGAGGGAGAAGCAGAGCGTGGCAGCCAGGGCACTGATGAGCCCCCACGTGTCGAAGGACAGCTCCGTGACCGTGGCCAGCAGGACGCCCCCGATGATGGGGATGAGGGATAAGTACACCTGGGAGGAGGAAGGAGGGGGAAAGCACTTCAGGTGGGAAAGAAGCGCCTTGAAGTCGCCACCCCAAAGATAATAATAATTTCTTATTTATACCCCGCCCACCTGACTCGGTTTCCCCAGCCACTCTGGGCAGCTCCCAACAGAATATTAAAAAGACGATGAAACATCAAACATTAAAAACTTCCTGATACAGGGCTGCCTTCAGATGTCTTCTAAAAGTCAGATAGTTGTTTATCTCCTTGACATCTGATGGGAGGGTGCCACCACTGAGAAGGCCCTTGGGAGGAGGACCCCGGTGTCCGGGGTGGAGACGCTCCTTCAGGTATACATTAACGTTCAGCAATAACCCTATGAATTGTGCTCGGAAACGTACTGTGAGCCAATGTTGATTTTTCATGGCTGTGGTAATATGGTCCCAGCGGCTGCACCCCGTCACCAATCTGGGAGGTGCCTTCTAGATTAGTTGGTAGTTTCCAAGTCACCTTCAAAGGGAGTCCCCCCCCCCGCCCCCGTAGAGGGCACTGCAGCAGTCCCAAGTGGGAGATAACCAGAATATGAACCACTCTGGTGAGTTAGACAACCGCCCTGGAGTCAGAATTGACCTGCGCCTCCATGGACAGCCGTGAGCCCGAAATGACCCCCAGGCTGCGCACCTGGTCCTTCAGGGGCACAGTCGCCCCATTCAGGGCAAGGGAGTTTGACTGCAGAAAGAAGGGCGACGTCTCGCCCACCGTTCCTCCTCCCTCCTCCTCCCTCTTACCTTGGTTGTCTGCTTCTCCTTCATGATGATTCTCGACAGCAGCACCACCCAGATCGGCATCGTCGCTTTGACTGAAAGGAGAAGGAGGTTAGAGAGGCAGAGCGGAAGCCGGAATAGAAGACTGGGGAGGAGGAACGCAGGGTGCTGTAGGTCCAACAAGCTCAGGACTGTCTACAGCGACTGTCAGCAATGGCTGTGCAGGTTCTCAGGCAGGAATCTCTGCCAGCCCCAGCCTGAGATGGGGCCTAGGGTTGAACCTGGGACTTCTGCATGCAGAGGAGGACAGAAGCCCAGGGAAACACGAGGGAGAATGACAGCACAGTGGGAAGGTAAAAAGCATCAGTCTTCACTCTCACAAGGGACCCCAAAACCAAAGCGGGCAGGAAGCCACCCAATATTTCAGCACCTTACTTGGGTTGTATCCCATCTAAGAGATTTACGCAGAGCAAACACAGTGAGATGAATGGGCATAATGTGGTCCTGTCCAGTAGGTTTAATAAATAAAATACTCAAGGGCTTGACAAATGCTAGATTTGACCCACTATTTATTACTGTGGTTAACAGGACAATGCTTTTTCTTTCCCCCCCAAAAGAAATTAAACACAAAACACCCTCAAAACCAATTATTTCAATGCGGCTGGAAGCAATATATTTCTGTTTCTTCCAGCCGCTTTTCAGTTACACCTAACATTAGCAAGGAGGGGGCTGGCACCAAGAAGGCCCCGTCACGGGCTGGTGGCATTGAAAGCCCCAGATCTGCCATTCCAGGATCAACTTTTCTTTCTTTCTTTCTAGGAATTCTGCACATTCCCAGGAGAAGACCTGCCCGCTTTATAGAGCTGGAATAGATGATCATGGGGGTGCTGTCCCAATTCTGCAATTCTAGCATCAACTTATTTACTGTATTTCCAGGCACTCTGCACATTCCCAGGAGCAGAGGACCTGCCCCCTTTATAGGGCTGCACTAGATGATCATGGGGATGACCTCCCAAATCTGCAATTCTAGCACCAACTTCTTTAGATCCAGGCACTCTGCACGTTCCCAGGAGCAGCAGGGCGCAGAAGGCCTGCCCTCTTTGTAGGGCTGGACGATGATCATGGGGGTGCCCTCCTAATTCTGCAATTCTAAGATCAGCTTCTCCCTCCCTCCCCAGCCACTCTGCACATTCCCAGGAGCAGAGGACCTGCCCCCTTTGTAGGGCTGGACCAGATGATTGGGGAGCCCCTCCCACATCTGCAACTCTAGGAACAACTTCTTCCTCCCTCCCGTCCTTTCCAGGCACTCTGCACATTCCCAGGAGCAGCAGGGCGTGGAGGGCCTGCCTCTGTTGTAGGGCTGGACTAGATGACCGTGGGGGTGCCCTCCCGATTCCGCCATCCTAGGACCAACTTCTCCCTGCCTCCCTCCCCGGGCCCTCTGCCCATGCCCCGGAGCCCCGCCCCCGTACCGGTGTGGGCGTAGGAGACGGGCACCCTCCAGAGGGAGACGTGGGCGGAGACGGAGGCCAGGTACTTCCCGAAGGCGAGCGGGAGGATGAGCCTGGGGTACGCGCGCGGGGGCAGCTGGGCGGGGCTGGCGGCGGGCACGCGCCAGGCGCGCAGCAGGGGGGGCAGCAGCGCCACCAGGCCCAGCACGTGGCAGAGGGAGACGGTGACGGGCCGCGGGAAGGCGCCCAGCAGCACCTTGTTCACCACGTTGCCCCCCGCGCTCAGCGCGTACCAGGCCAGGCACAGCGCGGGCACGCGGAAGACCCCCGGCGGCGGGGGCGCGCCTCCTCCTCCTCGGGGGCGGGGCGGCGGGGGCGCGCCCGGGGGCGGCGGGGACGCGCCGGGAGGGAGGAGGGGCGACGGGGAAGGGGGGAGCAGGGCCGGCGGAGGCAGCAGCGGCGACGAGGAGGACGACGCCATCCCGAGCCGGATCCGGCCCCTTTCGGCCGCCGCTCGCTCCCCGGCGCGCTCTCCGCCGCGTCACTTCCGCCCGGCGACGGAAGCGGACGTGGCTACGGGAGCCGAGCGGGGACAAGCGGCCGGAAGAGGCGGAGGGACACGCCCACAAGAGGGGCGGGGACTGGAGGGGGGACGTTGTTGCGTCAGAGGACGCGCCCACAAAGGGGGCGGGGACTGGGGAAGAGAGGGCGGGGCCTGGGAGGGTCATCAGTTCCTCTTCCTGCTATTATTATTTGATGCATTTTCATTATTTTGATATCTATAACCTACATTTAATATTTATTAGTCCTGTCTCCCTGGGCGAGGATTCTTATCAGTATAATAAAAATAAATAATAAATTTATTTACTATTATTAGTATTATCATCAGTATTATTTGGTCATGCACTTTCAAAATAATAATAATAATAATAATAATAATAATAATAATAATAATAATAATAATAATAATAATATTTTATGTATACCCCGCCCTCCCCAGGCTCAGGGCAGCTAACGCCAGTAAAATTACAAGTAAAAACATTATAGGAAAAGAAGAAAAAAAAACCCAATTTAAAATACAGATTAAAATGCAATTTAAAATGCAGCCTCATTTTAATAGTAGCCGATAGATCAAGACCATAAGGGGAGGGAAACATAAGGGCCAGACTGAGTCCAAGCCAAAGGCCAGGCGGAACAGCTCTGTCTTGCAGGCCCTGCGGAAAGACGTCAAGTCCCACAGGGCCCTGGTCTCTTGGGACAGAGCGTTCCACCACGTCGGGGCCAGTGCTGAAAAGGCCCTGGCCCTAGCTGAGACCAATCTAACCACCTTGCGACCTCCAAAGTGTTGTCATTTGTGGACCTTAAGGTCCTCCGCGGGGCATACCAGGAGAGGTGGGCCCGTAGGTACGAGGGTCCTATGTACCTATTATTTATACCCCGCCCATCTGGCTGGGTTTCCCCAGCCACTCTGGGAGGCTCCCAACAGAATATTAAAAACACGACAAAGCATCAGACATTAAAAATGTCCCTAAACAGGGCTGCCTTCAGATGTCTTCTAAAAGTCAGATTGTTGTTTATTTCCTTGACATCTGATGGGCGTTCCACAGGGCGCCACCACCGAGAAGGCCCTCTGCCTGGTTCTCTGTAGCCTCACTTCTCGCAGGGAACCGGCAGAAGGCCCTCGGAGCTGGACCTCCGTATCTGGGATGGACGACGGGGGTGGAGACAATCTTGCTCAGCTACGAGTGATCGCCAAAGAAGATATACAACTTACATTTATCTGTATTAGTCCCATTTCCCAGGGCGAGTGTTATTATTATTTAGGCATTTTCAATATTTTGATATATACAACTTACATTTATCTTTATTAGTCCCGTCTCCTTAGACAAGTATTATTCTTATTATATTATGTGTATACAGTACTATATCTGCAGGTCTCGGGGCGGTTCATGACGTTAGCCCTGGGACCTTCCACTGTGTTTCCCAAACTTGGGTCTCCAGCTGTTTTTTGGATCATGCACATTCTTCATTGCAGTGCAAAGAGCCCCCCCCCCAAAAAAAATGGATTCAAGGCATGCAGTGTTCAATTTAAATTAGCCAGTGACCACAAGGGCAAAAATATACCCACTGGCCCTTCTTGATTCTGCTCCCTGAACTAGGTACCACCACAATGCAGGGTAGAGACCCCCCCCCAGTGGTGAAAAAGAGGGGCGGGGGCTCTCCTCTCTTTGCTTTCCTTGCCCTGGTGCAGTGGTTTTAACAACTGAGAATATGCAGAAGTTCGACAGAGGAAAAACGTAATTTGCCGGGGAGGTAAAAATGGGAGGGGGGGTGTTTTGAAGCTTCAGTTGCTGGATTTGTGCACAGAAACTGGTCCCAAGCAAAGCATGCCCCCCCCCCGCCACCCCTAACAAAACTTGGGAGGTGGTGAAGTGCACTTGCATTAAAAATAAATAAATCACTTACTTGGAAACCAGCTGCCTTGTTAATCGCAAACCCCTTTTGATTATTATTCCTTTGGCACTGAAGTCCAAAAACAAATTTGCACACGTCCCATCGTCACAAACTTGCTCAAAGCAGATAAGTGTTGTACCTTGGTTTTCAAACGCCTTGGGAGTCGAACGTTTAGGCTCCCGGACGATCGAAAACCGGAAGCGATTGTTCTGGATTTCGAACGTTCTTTGGAACGTCCGACACGGCTTCCGGCTTCCTGCAGCCAATCGGAAGCCGCGCCTTGGTTCCCAAAAGTTTTCAGAAGTCGAATGGACTTCCGGAACGGATTCCGTCCGACTTCCAAGGCACCACTGTATTTCTAAAAGCAGACAAATAGCAAGGGAAGTGGGTAGGCAAAGCAAGTGACCTTCTGGATGTTACCATTGGGACTCCCAGCCGGAAGGGCCAGAGGTCAGAGATTATGATGTTCCTGGACCAACATCAGAAAGGCCACAGGCTCTGACCCATCCCAGTTCTATAGATCGTAGGTACTTGACATGGTCCCCCTCTCTGGAGGTTATTGGACTACAACTCCCAGCACCCCCAGCCAGTAAGAGAGGGAGGGAGCTGTAGCCCACTGAAACCGCGCTGTAGGCCCAGGAGCATCAGCGTGAGAAACGCCCACCTCCTTGTTCTTTCTGTACCGCCCTCCCCAGGCGCTTTAGACTACAGCTCCCAGCGGCCAGGAATGATGGAAGCAACAGGCCAGCAACAGCTAGAGAGCAAGCACACACTACACCTGGGTTGTGGGAATACTACAACTCCCAGGACCGGCGGTCAGGGATGATGGGGACTGTAGTCCAGAATCAGCTGGAGACTCAAGTCCTGCGGCTACAGGAAGCTGCCTTACTCAAGTCGGCCAACTTTCCGGGAACTTCCCTTTTTTTAAGAAACGACAGCCCGTGCTTTTGTGCAAATTTTTGTTTTATTTCCACATGTATATCACAACGTGTCCACTTAAAGGACCAATAGCAAAGTTGCTCCCTTCTGCGTCCCAGGAACGCAGAAGTCTAGGATAGTTACTGTACATTCACTAAGGCTCTGTTTCGCTTTTGCAAGTCGCGCTTCTTCTTTTTCTTCTTCTCCCTCTCTCTCTCTTTTTTTATTAAATTTTTGTGATGGATCTCCGTAAGGCAAACAAATTATCTAAAAAGGAATGGTAACAAGTGTATTTTCCAGCATTGCAGAACAGGCTTCCCCAATCTCTCTCTCTCCCCTCCTTTCACAGGACAAAAGTAGCACCCTCTGTACGGTTTGGGTTTTGCCTTTTTTAACGTGGGGGGGGCAGCGGAGGAGAGAGGGCTCTAACCCCTCCCTTGCCTCTCCCTAAAAAATGTGCAGAAAGAATTCCGGGAAGACACACTCAGGCTGGCAAAGGGTCGCGGTGCAGCATTTCTTAGGCTGAAGACAAAAATCTGATTAGACCCCACCAAGAAAGGAGGAAGGGAGGAAGGAAGGAAGGAAGGGATATTTGTGGAATGCTAACCTGAAGGTGGGCACTACCTCCTGCCCACCCTGGCAGACTGGCACCCCTCACAGCAAGCCACACGCCTTTTACTGGAGACAGGTGTGACGCCAGGAAGAACTACTGACCACAGGATTTTTGCACAGTTTCATCTCAAACCATCTCACGGCTGTTATTATCATCCTTACTCCCTTTCCAAGAAAAAAACAAACAAAAACAAAATCGGGGACAAAAATAAATAGGCTACGGCTACTCTTGGTTAAAACGTCCTGCCTCCCACCATTCCTCTCCCCGCCTCCTCCCTGCCTGCCCTCGGATTTCGGCACCCGCCAATCACTGGAAAGAATCTTCACCTTTCGAAAGTAAAATAAAATAAAATAAAAACCCTAACACTTTTTTTGTGTGTTTTTGTGTTTTTGTCAGAGCTGGCTGGCTAAGAGTTTGGAACTCTTTCCGTTGCCGCCGTATAAATCAAACCTCCGTTCTGCGCCTCCTCCCGCTTTGCAATTTTGTTAGTAGACTGGTAGCAGCACTTCACAAAAAAAAGAAAAGAATAATTAGAAAGAAACCTAGGGAAGAAGGAACTGCCGGGGTCCAGCTCTCTCTCTCTCTCTCACACACCCTCCCTCCCTCTCTCTGCTGGGTGAGCCTTTTATTCAGCACAACGGGGGGGCGGAGGGGGGGGCAGCCGTTGCCGCCGCACCCGCCTGCTGGCACCGAACTGCCCCTTGCGTCAGAAGCATCCCGGCGCTCAGTCCAGGCAGACGTAAGGCAGGACGTTGAGGCGCCCGTCGTCCCCGTGCGGGTCGAGGGATATTCCCTGCGTCCAATCATACCAGTTACCCTGTGTGTCGTAGCAACCATTCACGCCTGGCCAGTGGTGGCCGCAAATCCTGTCGAGGTCGCCCCGCGTCACCTCCCGGGTCACCCCGGGCAAGTCCGTGGGCTTGCTGTGGGGCGCCAGGACGTGGGTCTTGCGGGCGTCCCGGCGGGTGCTCTCCTCCTGCTTCAGGTACTCGGACATGAAGTAGTGAGCGCCCGGAGTCTGTACCCCGGAAGAGGAGAGCAAGCTGCTCTGCCGGTTCAAATAGGACTGGATGATCTCGTTCCGGGACAGCTCCTTCCAGTTGGTCTGCTCAAAGGGGCTTTGCAGGGGGGGCTTGGGATCCGCGGCTTCCCCTGCGCCTGTCCTGTGCTGCTGCTCGGGGAGAGCGGGCGGGTGGGCCGCCGAGGGCAAGGAGTCCCTCTGCGCCAGGGGCTTGATCTCGCCCGTCATGGGGTCAAAGGTCAGCCGCCGCTCCTTTTTTAACCGCACCGGCTTGACCCCCCCTTCCAGCGCCTGCCCGTCCAAGTTGACCACGTAGTCCTTGGGCCGGTACTTCTTCTTCTTCTTGCTGTCCGACCCCGAGGCGGCGCCGTCGCTGTCCGCCCGGCACGGGTCCGGGGAGAAGCCCGCCAGCAAGGGCTCCGCAAGGAGGGGGCCCGCCCCGCTGCTCAGAGGGGGGCCCGCCGTCAGCCGGCCCGCCGGTGCCTCCTGGATGCCGTGCAGGGGCGTCTCCAGCCCCGCCTGCGGATGGGCCTCCAGCCGCTTCTCCAGCGCCGGCTGCACGAGGGCAGGGGGCGACAAGGGAGCCCCGGCGGGAGTGTCCGGGGCGGGGGGCGGCCTCGTCGGGGAAGGGGCAGGCGGCGAGCCCTTGGGCGAGTAGGTGGTGTGCTGCCGGGAAAACGTTTCCGCCCGGACGTGCCTGGGGCTGAAAGAGGAGCAGCGAGGGCTCTTGGGCTGGCCGGCTGCGGGCACCTCCTCCTTCTCCTGCTGGACCAGCAGCGCCACCTTCAGCAGGGACGAAGCAGAGGGCTTGAAGAGACCCGGGGAGCTGGTGTGGGGGCGCACCGCGTTGATGGGGATCTTGCTGAGCTTGTCGCCCTCGACCAGCTCGGCGGGCAGGCCGGCGTCCGGCGGGCTGGGGAAGCTGTCCGGGCTGCTGCCCCCGATCCCATTCGTCGGGGGCGGCGAGGAGTTCTGTAACACTTCGAAGCAGGCCTTGGAGGCCTTCGGCAGAGGCAAGAGAGGCGCCCCCGCCAGGCCATCGCGCGGCTCCCCCCGCCTCTTCCGGGCCGCCGGCTTCTCCACCAACTGCTTCGGAGAGTGCAGCTTCTGGACGTCGTTCCGGACCTTCGCATCTTGCGCAGGCTTCGGCCCCACCGCCGCTGGAGGAGTCTCTACCCGGCAGTTGTGGGCTCCGCCGCCGTTGGCAGACCCTGGTGGGTTGGGCGGCCCCCTGGCGGCCCCCTCGCTGGGCGCCCCCGGCTCGATAAGCTTCTGCCAGTTCCGCAGCAGCTTCTTCGCCCGCTTAGCCAGCTCCACATTCTCGGTTTTCTTCCTCACGTCGTTGATGAGTTTCCCCAGCCTTGTCTCCTGTGGAGTTTTTTGGGGGGAAAGGAACAAGAGAGAAAAGTGGGGAGGGAATGTTACTTTGCAAGATATCTGCATACCACATCACCCCACCTTCAGCAGCCAGATGTTTCGGACTACAGGTCCCATCATCCCCAGCCGGTGTGGCCAAATGGAACCGTGGCTGATGGGAGTTGTAGTCCAAAACACAAGGGAGGTGCTGGGCTGGCAGAGGCTCCCGTGAACCTGTCAAAAGCAGCAGGAGGCAGCTTCTCCTGTCCCAGGAAGGTCTCCCTCCAAGAAGAGGAATTTGGGGTCTGAGTGGGTGGGTACCTGTGACACACACGGAGGCACAGCACCCTACGACAGAGGTTTCCAGCCTTTCTGAGTCCACGGCTCCTTGAGCAACTACATTCTTTCTGCGGTGGGGCTCAGTAGCCCAGTTATGTCACCCCTTGCCTGCAGAGCTGGCAGCCTCACCCTTTTCCAAACACCCTCCCTTGGGGAGTGTTCCCTCTGCCTCCTCTCCTCAAGGCAGAGAGGGCACCCGAGGAGTGAGGGAAAGAGGGACAGAGGCTCGTGTTGCCCATCGCACCCCTGACCATAATTCGAGGCACCCCGGGGGGCCAGAGCACCCTGGTGGAAAACCGCTGCTCTATGAGCGGGGAGGCGCGCTACCAAGAAGGGTCAATGGTTGCACAAGTGTGTTGATATGAACATTGGTGCGGTGGAGATCTTGCCAGAAATTAGCTGCTGCTTTATTTCCCCTGTGGGTTCCTCCCCCACCACAATCCTGAGGAGCGCCTCAGTTGAGAAAATTACTCTATAACCTAATGAATGGCAAGGAGAAACGGACAACTGGAAGCAATCATAAGTCAGGATGCAAGTTGCTGCCACCTCTTCCCACAGATTATTTATATAGCCATGCTAGAATTAAAAGCTTTCAGCACTTCCAAAATCTAAGCAGTGTAAAAGGAAGACCTGCCGCCGTGTTGTCTTAAAACGCACCGTTAATACAGTCGTACCTCGGAAGTCGAACGGAACCCGTTCCGGAAGTTCGCTCGGCTTCCAAAACGTTTGGAAACCAAAGCGCAGCTTCCGATTGGCCGCAAGAGGAAGCTCCTGCAGCCAATCGGAAGCTGCGTCTGACGTCCAGGTTCCAAATAACGTTCGCAAACCGGAACACTCACTTCCAAGTTTGCGGCGTTCACAAACCAAGGTACGACTGTACTAAATAATAATAATAATAATTAATATGAGAAACAAAGCTTTCAGTTTGACTGCAGTATCAACACACCAAGTGTCTTTTTGCTGAAACAAACATTTCAGTTCGTCTGGGCAGCGTGGGGACTGAGCTCATAAAACGAAGAAGACAAACTCTCAGCTTTGCCCTGCTAAATATTTCAGCCAACTAAATCGAACCCACCAAATCAGGGCAGTGGGTAGGTTCTCCAGAAAACCCTCCTGCCAGTCTGCATGTCTCCTCAGCTACCTACACAGAGCAGGCCTCTCAAGACTGAGACAATCGCAAGCCTGAGAGGCTTGGAAAGAGAACTGCGAGCCATCTGGCATTTGTGGAAACGACCAGAGCGGCTAAGGATCGCAGCAACGCCAGGCAGCTGTGAAAATCAGTCTCCGTATCTCCGGCCGACGCTGGCACATGGAGTGCTGGGGACGCTTCGACGGAATTCCCCCGTTTGGAGGAGGCAGGTGGGCTGCAACGTGTTCGGACAAGCGGCCAACCCTCCCAGGGAGTCCCACAAGGCTGAGTCAGCTGTTCACCTCCCCCAGGTCTGGGGAAGGGGGTGCCACACAATTGAAGAGCTGTGTGAGGCTGCTTGGAAGCCCAGGAGGAAGACCAGGGCAGCTGAGAAGGCGCAGCCCGTACAAGTCCGCCGTCACGGGATACGGCGACCCATCATACTTGCTTAAATTGCAACATGGTCAACGCGTCAGTGTTTTTTTGAGGGGTGGGTGGGTGGGAAAAAGCAGTTCATGCACCAGCTGACACCCTTCAGACAGATGCCAAACCAGCAAAGGCCCTGGCAACCACAATTTTGGGGTTTGCTAGCAAGGCCAGGCGGGAGCTCCTGCAGACCATAAACCTTGTGCTTACCCAAGGTCACTTCCCTAAGCTGCTTCAAGGCTGGGTTACTGCGATGTGCTCTCTGAGGGGTTTTCCCTTGAACTTGACCCAGAAGCTGCAGTTGGTGAAGGATGCTGCAGCACGATTGCTGAACGTGAGTGAGGCCTTGTCACCGTATAACTCCTGTTCCCAGACATCTGCTCTGGTTGCCCGTTTGCAACTGGGCCAAGTTCAAGGCGTTGCTATTAGCATTTAGAGCCCTTTATCAATGACAAACCTAGGCAGCATCTTAAAAAGCAGAGACATCACCTTGCCAACAAAGGTCCGCATAGTAAAAGCTCTGGTTTTCACAGTAGTGATTTACGGAAGTGAAAGCGGGACCATAAAGAAAGCTGATCACCGAAGAATTGATGCTTTTGAATTCTGGTGCTGGAGGAGACTCTTGAGAGTCCCATGGACTGCAAAAAGATCCAACCTCTCCATTCTGAAGGAAATCAGCCCTGAGTGCTCACTGGAAGGACAGATCCTGAAGCTGAGGCTCCAAGACTTTGGCCACCTCAGGAGAAGAGAAAAGACCCTGATGCTGGGAAAGATGGAGGGCGCAAGGAGAAGGGGACGACAGAGGACGAGATGGTGGGACAGTGTTCTCAAAGCTACCGGCATGAGTTTGACCATGGCGTGCTCTGGTCCAGGGGGTCACAAAGAGGCGGACACAACTAAATGACTAGAACAACAACATCAATTTGGGACCAGTTTAGCTTTGAGATCACCTTACCCAACAGGTGGTCCCACTTGAACACTTTGATAGGCAGAATTGGCACGGCTGCAGGTGCCTGTTCTGCATCCGAAAGAACCCTGCCAATTGAGATCAAGCAGGCACCTTCACCATACTCTCTTCAGCGCTTGCTAAAAACAGTCCTGTTTAGGCAAGCCCGCTCAGACGGTTAGAAAGCTGAGATGATTTAAATCTATTTCAGCGCTTTAACTGTTATGCGTTTTAAATCACAGTTGTGCATTTTGTTCTCGCTTTCACCCTTTTATCTTTTGTAAACCGCTTCGACGGTTTCCTTTTTGTTTTTACCATCAATGGAGAACAAATTTTAAGAAATAAAAATGAGCGCCGTGCAGCTTTTGCTATTTCCATCAGGAGGTGAATGAAGACCCACCTCGAGCGCTTCTTTGGTGATGGGGTACCTCTCCAGGCTGGAGATCACTTCCAGTACTGCCACCATGTTACGAATCTGGAAGAGAAAGAGAACAGTTAAACGTGAGGCTTTGGGCGGGAGCGTGCGCCAAACACCACGCACCCTGCGCCCTGTGACGCTAGGAGAGCTCGGCGTAGACCGGCTGAAATGAATGGATCCGGCTGACTTTGAAGGCTGCCCCAACTCCCTCCGCTGCTGAGAGGCAAGTCCAGCCACCCAGCGAGTCAGAAGCCAAATGACAACCACCCCTTGCTTCTAGACTTGTGCCTCAATCACCAGTGGCGTTCACTGGCCGGGGTCGGGGTCCTTAAGAGGCTCGCAGTGGCACCCCACGCATCATAAAGTCGCAGCGAGAACGGCAGAAATCGGCCCTGAAGACACTCTGCCAGTCCCTAAAAGTCAACATCTCTTCTTGCCGTATCCCGACCAGGTACGAAAACTGACCTCTGCGGCCCTTAACCTCCTTAAAGGTCACCGAAGAGGAAGGGCCTTCTCTTCCAAGGTGCCTTGCCAGGAAGGTTCACCTGGAGAAAAACTTTCCCCCTTTCGCTCAGGGCTCTTTTAGGTGTCACCACGCGAAGACACATCAAAAAGGGCTTTGCATGCAGGAGGGCTCAGGTTAAGGCCCAACTCACTGAAGGAACAACTCCAGTGCAGGGATGGAGCAAAGGACCCCCCCCCCCGAGGCCGAAACCCTGGAGGACCACTACCAGTCAGAAGGCGCAATAGAGAGAGAGAGAGAGACCAAGGGCCTAGCTTCGCACGATGCATCTTCCTGTGTCCCTGGGCATCTTGCACGATTTCATCCCGTGCAAAAGATCTGAGGAGAATTGGGGGGTTAAAGCGCAGGCAGCAGGCACAGAAAGCGTGAAGGGGGGAGTCTGCAGGGCGAGGGGGGACGGCTCAAGAGGAGCAGCCGTTCAGAAAGACGCAAGCCCGAGGGAGTGGCCGGGTTAAGCCCCTCTGCGCCAAGTGCGGCCAATGTGGTGGTGCCCATTCCAAATGACCAGCAGCCGTCAAGGCGCAAGCAGAGGGGTGATGTGGAGACCAGCAGGTGAGCGCAACCCCCCCCCTTATACTATTAGGAGACATGTCTACCCAACCCTACAGAAAACAGGGCCTCCTATACAAGCCCAACGTAGTGCTCCCTGATAGCAAGACTCCACAAAGTGAACGCCATAAATGCAGGGCACGGAACAAGTGCCACCACGGACAGGTGGCGGGGGGCATGTGGGAAAGGGGGTGCAGCATTACATGGCAAGGAGGAGCCACAGTCTACAGCCGGGGTCTAAGCCACCGGGGCTTGGGGTACTGCTGCTCCCAAGTAACATGGAAAGGGGGTCAGGGGAGGAGAGAGAGCGTCAGACTGGCATGTGTTGGGGCAGAGCACTGACAAGGAGATGGGGGGGAAGCACATGCTGGCCTAATAAAACGGGAATGGGCTGGGGGGGGCAACTGCAAGCGGAAGGTCAAGCCCAGAGGATACATGTGGGGCTAATCATCCTGACTCCCCTTCTTTGCAGACCCGAGTGGGTGGAGAGGGAAAAAGGAGGCCCAAGGGAAAACAAACCGGACTTGGCATTTCAGCAGCAGAAGGGAGATTTTTTACTTTTGCAGGATGAGATGGGAAGAAAGAAAAGAGGAAATTATGTTAGCAGGTGAGAAGCCCAGGGAGGAGGAGCTGGCAGAGGCGGCAGGAAACCCGTTGAAGGAGAGCCCAACGCCCCAGAGCAACGTGCACTGGTGCAGACCAGGTTGTCCACCCAGCTCGGCACTCCCTGCACAGGCTGGCAGCAGCTCTCCAGGGTGCCAACCCAGGGGTCTTCCAAACCCGCACCTAGAGGTACTGTAGTTCCACGAGCAAAGGGGATACCTTGACACTGAGCAATGGCCCTTTCCTTAGAAATAAAAGCAAGATTCCTGACCTCGTGGCTCTCATTTAAGCTGGAAGCTGCTGCCTCACACTGTGCCACGCCATTGCTCCAGCCAACTCGACGTTGTCTACGTTGACTGCAGAGCCTAGGGCTCGCGGGTCCTACCTGGAGATTCTGCATACGAGGCAGGCCCTCTGAGCTGCAGTCCTTCACCTCCTCCCGAGTCAAGCCACTGGGCCCCTAGAGCTAAGCACTGTCTCTAGACTGACCGGCAGCAGAGCAGCTGACCAGGAAATAATTCCCCAGCCTTCGCCGGAGACCTTCTGCATGCAAAGCAAGTGATCCACAGAACCAGCGAGCCCTTCCCCACCCACCCCCAGCCCTCCCCTCTCTTGCAACTTGCCCGCTCACAGCAGGGGCCTTCCACCTCTCTGCACCCAGGGCCTGCTATTCACCAAACCATGCATCCAGGTACCCACTTCTCAACTCTCTCACCACAGACCTGCAGGGCGACCCACCTTGCAGCAGGCCGTGACCAGGGGCCCAAAACACCAGTTGGGAGACCTCAGATCTGGAGGGCGCTATCAGCGTCATTATTATTAGTTGGAGACCCCAAATTTAGAGGACATTAAGATCAATATTATTAGTTGGAGACCCCAGGTTTGAAGGACACGATTATCATCTTTATTATTAGTTGGGAGTCCCCAGATTTTGGAGGACATCGTTATCATTGTATGAGTGGACTGGTATATATATATATATATATATATATATATATATATATGGTATATGACAAACTTCTTCTTCTTCTCCCCCCTCTTCGCATCCCCACGTGCAAAAACGCTACACCCCCCTCCCCACGAACACATTAACCCTTCCCTCCCCAGTTTCTCCCTCCTATTAACCCTCCCCTGTCTCTCCCTCCCATTAATAATAATAATAATATTATAATAATTTATTATTCATACCCCACCTAACTGGCTGGGTGTCCCCCCCCCCCCAGCCACTCTGGGCGGCTTCCAACGAAACACTAAAACACCTATTAAACCTTCAGAGCTTCCCTAAAATTAACCCTCTCCCTCCCATTAACCCTTCCCTCCCCTCTCCCCAGACTCACGTTGCTGTTGGGGTCGACGGCCTGCAGCAGCCGGTCCCTGATCTGCTGCGGGGAGGGTCCCGGAGCCGCTGTCATTGCCCCCCCGTCGAGGCGGCGACCCCGAGCCCTGCGCTGGCGGCGGGAGGAGGAGGAGCCCCCCCCGCCCTCCTCCCCCCGCTTCCTGCCGGGCCTCTTCCTCCTCCTCCTCCTGCTGGGCTCGCCGGCCTCCCTCCTCCTCCTCCTCCTGCCCCGCCGCTGGGCCGCCTCCTCAGCTCACTCGCCGGCCGCGCCGCGGGGCAGCCGGAGCCGCATGTTCCTCGGGGGGCGCCTCCCGGGGCTGGGCCTGGCCCGGGCTCCTCCTCCTCCTCCTCGGCCTCGCCCCCCCCTGCCTCCGGGCCGGGCCGCCCGTCCTCCTCGGGGCTCCTCCGTCCAGGCGGCGGCGGAGGAGGAGGCCGAGCTGCTCAACTGTGGGCAAGAGCCAGCAGCCGCGCGCGGTGCACCCTGGGACACGCCCGACGCCGTGACGCCGCGCGCAGGCCGACGCACGCACGGGGGAGGGGGGAGGGCGGGAGGAGGAACGTCGCGTCTGTGACGTCGCGGCGCAAACCGCGCGGGGGGGGGGGAAGCGGAGGCGCGGTTCTCTCGGTCTCTCTCTCTCTGGCAGGCCGGGCACGCATGCGCAGTGCGGCGGGAAAGGGGGAGGGGGCGAGGGGGAGAAAGGGCGGGAAAAAAAGAGAGGGAGGCGTTTGGCGCGAAAGGGCCGCCTCGCAGATTTACCTCAGTATGTATGTATGTATATATATATATATATATACTGAGGTATATATATATATATATATATATATATATATATATATATATATATATAATATATATATATAATATGTGTATATATGTGTGTGTAAATATATTACTATTGTAATATGTATTCAATAGTCCGTCCCTCAGATTTACCTCAGTTTAAACGTGAAAGATATTACAGTATATATATATATATATATATATATATATATATATATGTATAGTTCACGGGATGAACTATTGAATACATGTTTTTATACATATATCTTTCACGTTTAAAATTCTGAGGGACAGGCTATTGAATATATATATATTATATATATATAGTTAATGCAGAGGGGTTCCTGTAACTCTGTAACTATATATATATATAAGAAACTATGATATGTCCCGTTTAAACAGCTAAATCTGAAGGACGGGACGAACTATTGAATACATATTTCAATAGTAATACAGTACACACACACATATATACAAATATATACTATATATGTATATATTATATATGCGTGTGTATATATACCACTATTGGAATATGCATTCAAAACCCGTCCCTCAGATTTATGTCAGTTTGAACGTGAACGATATAAAATGTATAAAAGCGATATGTATTCAATAGTTCAACTTTTCCCTTTTCTTGCGAGGAATCCTATTCGGAATAAGGGAATTTTCCTTTAAAAAAGGGAAACGTTGACAGCTATTAAGTGTGTGTGTGCGTATATATATATATATATGTGTGTGTGTGTGTATTACTAATATATTCAATAGTTCATCCTGTCCCTCAGATTTACCTATTTAAACGTGATATATCATATATATATATATATATATATATATATATGCTTTCGTAGATTTTCACGGGTACAGGAATGCAGGTTTTGGTGTTCTCGGGTGTCTTCCCGTGTAAAAGTTGGGGTGTCTAGGCGACGTTTCGACGAGGTCTCACTCGTCATCTTCAGGCTGGTGCTTTCGGCTTCTTGTTACTGGAACAGAGCAGGATCTCAGTGTTTGAGTTCCTATAAATACTGTTGAGGGGGTGTGGTGTATAGCCTCCAATGTTCTGGGCAGAGAGGAAGTTCCCAGGCTAGTGTGCCTTTTCTTCTTTTGTTCCTTAATTACTTGAGGGATATCTTGAGTGATTTCTTGAGCCCGTCCCTCAGATTTGTCAGTTTAAACATGAAAGATATAAAATACATGTATAAAAGCAGTATGTATTCAATAGTTCATCCCGTCCCTCAGATTTACCTGTTTAAACGTGATATATCATATATATATATATATAGTTACAGGAACCCCTCTCCATATATATATATATATATATATTCAATAGCCTGTCCCTCAGATTTATGTCAGTTTAAACGTGAAAGATATAAAATACATGTATAAAAGCAATATGTATTCAATAGTTTGTCCCGTCCTTCAGATTTACCTGTTTAAACATGAAAGATATCAGGTATATATATATATATATATATATATATATATATATATGTTGAATAGCCCGTCCCTCAGATTTATGTCAGTTAAAACGTGATATAAAATATATGTATAAAAGAAATATGTATTCAATAGTTCGTCCCGTCCTTCAGATTTACCTGTTTAAAATTTATGAAATATATTCAATAGTTTGTAATATATATGTGTGTGTGTGTTAAATAATAGGAAAGACGGACAAAGATCTCAGCTCTTTTAGATTCACAGCTCTTTATTGCAGCAGCTCCTGGAGTCAGACTGACTGCAGCCTCAGCCTGCTGCTTTATATACTACCAGGTAACTTCTAACACTCACAACTTCCAGCTAACTAACCAATCAGGGAGCGACAGTTCTCAATCCTTCATTTGCATACTGGTGGACCTGAGTGAGAACTGCAGCCAATCTTAATACATAACAGTATATATGTTATATGGGACGCGGGTGGCGCTGTGGGTTAAACCACCAAGCCTCTTAGGCTTGCCGATCAGAAGGTCGGCGGTTCGAATCCCCGCGACGGGGTGAGCTAATGGTCAGGGGTCCCTTTACCTTTACATATGTTATAAGAATTTAAATATATATTCAATATATTAATATTAATATATATTCAATAAATTCAGAATTCAAAAATCAATAGAGTCGGGGGGGGGGATACGGTACAGAAATCAAGACTTCCAACACACCACCTAATTGTTGGCCCAGCCAAACCACGTTTTTGAAAAATTTGGCCCCCTGGCCACGATTCCCCTCAGGACGTTCCCTCAGACCTATGAATCCATTATGTTGCAGGTGCATTTTAAACTTTTTGATCCTGCAGAACCGATGCCAAAAGACATGTGCCCCATTGATCAATAATAGGTTTAAAAAGCATTCAGAAGTGGCCGTGGTGTTCCTGGGCATGTCTAAAGTACGTCCCCCACCGCTGGCCTTGCCGCTGAGGTAAACCAAGGCAGGCCTGGCTTCTTTTTCAAAATAAAAATAAAAATATGTGCGACAGCAGAGGATTCAATTTTAGCAGTCAAGCAAAACTGAAAATAAAAAGGGGGAAACCCCTTCTGTGAATCCCCCAAAAGCACTGGGATCATTAAATTATATGTGATTTGCACAGGCGTGTTTGCTTTTAAAAATGACGCAGGTTATTGTTGTCACTTGGCAAAGGAATAATCCGGGTGCGGCAGCTGCGGATTTTCCATCATGGCTGAACCATCGCTCCTGGTGCACCATTAATAAGAGAGCCTTCCTATTTCTCCGCCGTTAAAGGAAGTGGAATGGGGAACCTTTGCTATGGACAGCTCCCTTGAACCCGTCATGGCTGCCTCCTTTCTGTATGAGTCTCTGACAAGCGGGCTCCCCTTGCCACAAGGAACCTTTTCAAAATGATGTATACAGAACCATGGTTTGCCGAACAACTCCTCTCCAACTCCTCGAAAGATTCCATCAACGGTGTCTCCGAAATATTTTACACACCACTTGGGAAGACAGGCGAACTAATATCAGTGTACTGGAAGAAGCAAATATCATGAGTGTTGAAGCAATGATTCTTCAACATCAACTTCGTTGGACTGGTCATGTTGTGCGGATGCCTGATGATCGTCTTCCAAAGCAACTCCTCTATTCCGAACTTAAAAATGGAAAGTGTAATGTCAACAAGAGAGGTTCAAAGACTCTCTCAAGGCAGATCTAAAAAAATATAATATAAACACCGACAACTGGGAAACACTGGCCTTCGAGCGCTCCAGTTGGAGAACAGCCTTTCCCAAAGGTGTTGTGGGCTTTGAAGACACTCGAACTCAGGATGCAAGGGAGAAACGTGCTAAGAGGAAGGCACACTTGGCAAACCCTCACCGGGATCAACTCCCACCTGGAAACCTATGTCCCCACTGTGGAAGGACGTGTGGATCCAGAACTGGCCTCCACAGTCACTTACGGACTCATTGTTCAACCCGTGTTCATGGAAGACAATCTCACTCGGCTACGAGGCATCAAAGAAGAAGAAGACAGAAGCATGGTTTGCTGAACATGGTCATTCCAGAGACAGGCAAACCATGGCTTGGCTTCTCCAGAGTTCGGTTTGCGTGTCCAGCTACCCTAGCCGAACCGATCACGGCCGAGGAATCCCATCACACCAAACCGCGGTTAAAACCAAGCAAACAACAAACCATGGCTTCAGATTGCAGTTTCTTGGCCGCAAAATTACCACGGCTAAGCGCAGGTTTCACACATTTAAGGCCTGACCATGGTTCAAATAAACCAGATTAACAACTGGACTAAATAACCCCCACCACAGGCGAAATTAATCATCTTTATATATGCTTGGACACAAAAATAAGCCACAATTTCATGAGATTTCTCTTTTTCGAAGAAATAAGACACCGAGACACTTGCAGTGCTTAAAAACATGGCTTTTTTTTTTAAACTTCATGGGCAAGACATTACTTCCAGCTGAAAATCACGCCCCAGGTTGTTATAGCCAGCAGCAAAGTCCACCAAAGATGCTTTAAGATCCAAATAACCTAGAAGACAAAAGCAGGGAGGGAATAGACAACGGATTATTTCGGTTATAAACAGGCCCAAGGTTATTGTCCCCCATATTGCAAAAGAAAGAGCCATGGTGTGCCAATGGCTGAGGTGAAATCTGGACCTCTTACTGGCTCAAATCCAGCTTCCCCATAACCCTTCAGTTCCTGAGCAGCGCTGGGCACGAGGCTGCAGGTAATAAATATGAACGTAAAATGCCCAAAAACCAAGTTTAAGAGGCGCACAACCAGTAAGATGGCACCCCTTTTCCCCACTGACTTACACAATCATACAGAACATCATGAAGATATTCCACAGGGCGATGAAAATCCGGAAGTATCTCAGGCTCAGCAGAAACTCCCTGATGTTATCACCTAGGTGGAAATAAAAATAAAATAAAATGGCAGGTGTCCCTATTGCTGCCCCAGT